ACAAGCACGCCAAACACGAGGCTGAGGCCGAGCTCGACGCCCCGCGCGAGCAGGCCAAGGCCGCGGCCGAAGACGAATGGCCCGAGATCGATGCCGATGACGAGGGCGAGGCCGAGGCCGCGGCCGATGCCGAGGCCGAGGCGGTGCCCAGGGCGTCGGCCCCTCCAGCCCCTCGCGATGAGACGCTCCCAGCCGAGGCGCAGCCGCCCACCGATGAGCCGCTCCCAGCCGCTCCGCCGAAGCAGCTCGAGAACCAGGGCTGGGGCGGCAAGGCGCTCGCCCCCCCAACGCAGCAGCCGTCTTGCAAGTTCTGCCGCACGTTCCTGGATCCGTTTGCCAAAGGCGTGCGCCTCCTCAGGAAGACTCCCCCTGTGTTCTGCTGCGGAACGTGCAACAGCAAAACCACTACCCTGGCGAAGGTGTTCGGCCACTGGCCGATCGACGAGTTCAAGCAACTCACGGTCGAAGAACAGAGCACCTTCTTCCAGACGTGCGGCACTGGCCAGGACAGCATCAAGAAGGCAGTCCACGAGCAAGTCATGAAGAAGTGGGCGCACCAGAAGACCAACAAGGTCTCTGGCGATTTCATGCCCGAGTGGTACTGGCGCAACCAGGGCATGCCAGAGGAGACGGTCAAAAGGATGAAGGACCTGGCCCCAGGGGAAGAGCACCCCATCTTCGGAGACACGTTCCAGGTCATGGTCCACGGGACTTCCGAGTCTGCGACGGAGGAGCTTGCGAGGCAGCAGATGGTCTCAGCGGCCACTCGGAAGGCGAAGGGCACCGCCGCAGCGAGCAGCGCCGCCGCGGGCAGCGGCAGCGCTACCGAGACCGCCGCCGCCGAGGGGCCTAGGGCCGCGCTTGCGCCAGCACCGACGTCCTCTTCTTCGACTTCCGACTCGGAGTCCAGCTCCAGCGAGAGCAAGAAAAAGAAGAACAAGAAGAACAAGAAGAAGAAGGACAAAAAAAAGAAGAAGGAGCAGCGCCAGAAGGAGAAGAAGAAGACCAGGGAGGTTGACAAGAGAGCGACGGAGAAGGCAGAGAAAGACAAGCTTCGAAAGCAGAGGGCTGCCCAGGCCGCCGCCGAAAAGGAGGAGAAGAGGGCGAAGCGCCAGACGCAGAGCGATGCCGCGAAGGCGCTCGCGAAGGTCTCTCCCCTCGCGTCCTCGCTCGAGACGGCGCTCAACCACAGCATGATCACGGATGTTCCGAAATTCGTGACCAAGACAGCGAAGGGGGCGCTGGCCACCCTCAAGAAGTACGCCCAGGAGGCCGAAGAGGCCATCAAGACGCACGATCCGCAGCCGCTGTCGTTCAAGCTCGAGGAGGTCATCAGCGACGCGAGGGCCGCGCAGGACTCCCACGACAAGCTCGCCAACGTCCTGAAGAGCGTGGAGCAGGCCGCGAAGTGAGGGGCGCCTTCAGGGCGCCATGGCCAGGCTCGGGGCTCGTGCGCTTAGGCGCGCGGCTCTGCGACCCGCCGCGTCGAGTCTGGTTCAAACTTCGCGCCCCTCTTGTTGCCGAGCGGTAAGCCAACCGCTACTCCCCAGCGGTAGAACCACCGCTCCCTTTCCCACCCCCTGCCCCCACTCTCCCCATTCCCAGCGGTAGACCCACCGCTCCTGTCCCTCCAATTCCCAGCGGTAGACCCACCGCTTTCGTTTCAGCTCCAGCGGTAAACCCACCGCTCGCTTCAGACACCTCACAGCGGTAAACCCACCGCTCGCTTCAGAAACCTTTTGGTCCCAGTCGGACTCCGTGCGAGCTCCCATCGGGGTCCCTGATTCGAAAATGGCCTCTTGCAAGAGGCCATTTTCGAATCAGGGACCTCGCATTCAACTAAAAAGTTATATGATTGTTTCGGCGCCGATGCGAACCGATTCAAGCTACACTTTGAATTACATGATATATACTTTGTTATTCAATGTACACTTTGATTTTTAAGATGCACTTTGAGATTTAAAATGCATTTTGGATTTCAAACTGCCAGTTGATTTCCGACTTACTTTTGGTTTTCAAGGTACTCTTTGCTTTGCAAGCAACACATGCATTGTCAATATACATTTTCAGAAATCTTGTCATACCATCCCTTTGCCACTGCTGCCGTATCCCCTCCCTCGTCCCCGCGCTGCCGATGCGTTCCCGATTCGCTTGCCGCGCCCCCGCGACGCGACGCGCCCGCAGCCATTCGTGGCTGAAGGGGCCCGCGACGCGACGCGCCCGCGCCCGCAGGGAGCCGCCGATGGCAGAATCGAAGCCTGCAAAAATCAGGAGGCTCTTTGCTGGCACAGGATTGTCGAGGAACCATACGCAACTCTCGGAGCTACTGCAGAGATTGCGAACCGCTGACGAAGCTGACAGGGAGGCTGCTCTTGCCTGCAATCGCGGCCACCTGCAGCGGGCCCTCGACGATTTGTGGAAACAAACATGCCAGCTGGAGCATTTCGAATGCACGGCACACACACGGGGCATGGAACTCGGCGCCACGCTCTCGTTGCCTAAAGTTCTGCAGCTCGCAGCCCGCACTGCGCCAGGGTACGCCTCCCTCCTGAACGAGTTGTGGCGACAACGCCCTTGCACTGCCGAGTCGCCATACCACCTCGTGTGTTACGCAGATGAATTCGTACCAGGTAATGTCCTCAGGCAGGACAACCGAAGAAAGTGTTTCGGCATGTTCGTGACTATCAGAGAGTTCGGCCCCCACATCACCAAGCATGTTGAAGCCTGGTTGCCAGTCATTTGCATCCGATCCACTGTGGCGAAACAGATCGAAGGGGGCGCCTCGAATGTAGTCAGAACTTTTTTGCGACGAATGTTCATCGAAGATGAAATTTCGACAAAGGGCGTGTTGGTACAGCTGGACGCGGCCGCCTCTGGAACAGCAGCTATGTATTTCAAACTCGGCAACCTGGTCCTCGACGGCGACGCCGCCAGGATTGTATTTTCGCAGCTTGGGGCCAATGCCAATCTGCCATGCATGAATTGCCTCAACGTACTGCAGCTACGCGGCGATGCTGTTCGAATGCCACGGGGGTTCGTTGGTCTCCGCTGCTCATACCCATCTTTGTTTTCGCGCGCCACAGACGGCGACATCTGGCAGAAGGCTGACGAGGTTCTTGCGTTGGCACCGAGACATCTGCAGGCTGGGCAAACAGCTAGAGGAATTAAGCGCGTCCCTTTGGGTGTGATTTTCGATCGCGAGCTCAGGCCGCACTGCCCGCCGATACGGACATCCACCCACGACGCCATGCACATCTTGAACGGCATGGCATGCTTAGAGATGTCTTTGATTTTGGTAGCAATGTTTCGGCACAGCTGGCTTTCATGGAGCGGCGTACGCACGTGGATGGAATCGAATTGGAAATTGTGCGGCGCTTTCTCAGGGGCGTCTGCGGAACTCAAGGCGGCATGGAACGACGCTCGGCAGAAAGCTTTCCAGAAGAACAAAGAGTTTAAAGCTGGGGCGTCCGAGCTGATCATGATTATTCCGCTCTTCAATTATTGTTTGCATTGCGTGGTGAAGCCCTGTGGTATTCTGGACAAAGAGATTCGTAGTTTCAATTCTCTTGCGCTGATTTGTGGGTTTCTCAAGCAAGGTAAATTTGGCAGGGACGTCAGCTCCACTGCGAGTGGCCTCGACGCGATGTTCGCCGAGCACGCCGAAGCTTTCAATGACGCTTATCCTAAAGGTGACGTTATCCCTAAAGCTCATTGGGGCTTTCACCTTGCGCACCAGTTACGCCGAGATGGGTACAGCATCGATTGTTTCGTGGGCGAACGCCAGAATTATATCATGAAGAATTGCGCCCAGTCTGTTAAGAATACGAGATCGTTGGAAAAATCAATTCTGAGTCGCGTGCTGGCCGGTCGCCTTGGAGCCCTGGCCGATGCTGATTTTTTTCTGGACCGATTGCACAAGCCAGAGAGCTCGCCGACGTTGGCCAGAGCGGCGGGCGTTTCGTCTGCCTCCATGAGCGGTTCTATGAAATTTCGCGGGACAACCCTCGCGGCTGGAGACGCTGTCTGGTGCGACGGCGTTGTATGCATCGTGGCTGGCTGCGCCTTTCTGGACACCGCGCCCGTCATTGTCGTCGACGAGATGGTATTTGTGGAGCAGGTGTCGCCAGCCGCTTCTCGCTGGAGGAGCGCGCCAGGAGGTTCTTATTCTCTGGTGTTATTGGCCGACTGCGACGTGGTCTTGTCAGCAGGCTTTTCCTGGGATGGAGATGGCGTGGTCGTTCTTGCCTGGTGATGTGGTGCAAAAAACATCCTTGCGCTGGAAAAAGAACATCATCATTGTCCTTTCTCCTCCCTCAGCGGTGGGGCTACCGCTTGCCAGCGGTTGTCTACCGCTACTTGCTTGCATAGCGGTTGGTCTACCGCTCCTCGCATAGCGGTTGGTCTACCGCTCCTCCCGCCCGTCCTCCTTCTCCCGCCCCCCCCCTCTTCCCCTCTCCCTCCTCCGCCCCTCTCTCTCCAGCCCCCCCCCCTCCCTTCCGAAATAGTGAAACATAGCGGCGCTATTTGCTTTATTTTAACATGAATAAGCACACTATTTGATGTTATTACTTCTTAATAAAATACTAAATATAATGCTAAATAAAGCTAAATTAGAGATCAAATAAACATGCTATTAGTAGTGCATAACCATTATAACATACATAACTTCAGCAAGGGGGGGCGATCATTGCAGTTTTGGGAAAAAATGACGCCGGCGCCTCAGCGAGAGTCGTTTCCCGGGATTTCCCGGGCATCCTGTGTGTAAAAAACAGTACGCGGAGGGCGCGCGGCCATCACCCGGACGCCATCACGGGAAGAGGGAGAGTATATTCATATTGAGTAATTGTAGAGGAGGAGGAGGGGGAGGAGGAGGAGGAGGAAGAGGCGGAGGAGGAGGAGGAGGAGGAGGAGGAGGATCGATGACCCAGCATCGAGATGACGGAGGGTGGAGGACGGAGGGCCGAGGCGGAGGCGGAGGATCAGGGAGGATCTCGGTCCGCAGCCGTTTGTGGTCAAGCCGTGCGGGCCCGAGATCCTCGCGGAGCCCGAGCCCGCCCCCCCCCCCCTGCGGGTGCACGACGCGAGCGCCCGCCGCCACGCGGCGCGCGAGCGCGCCGCGGCGGTCGAGGGCGGCTATGCCGCCGCCGGAGAAGTCCATGTGGCGCTGGCAGGCGGGCCCCCTCGCGGCCCCGCGCGGGGAGGAGGTCCCGTGGCCCGTGCGCCTGGCGCGGGCGGCCGGCTCGGAGGATACGGGGCCCAAGCATGTACGCCACCACCACCTCCTCCTCCTCCTCCTCCTCCTCCTCCTCCTCCTCCTCGATCCTCCTCCTCTCCGTCCCTCCCTCCCTCCTCCTCCCTCCTCCTCCTCTCCTCCTCCTCCTCCTCCTCCCCCTCCTTCTCCCCCTCCCCCTCCTCCCCTCTCCTCCTCCTCCTCCCCTCCTCCTCCTCCTCCTCCTCCTCCTCCTCCTGCTCCTGCTCCACCTCCTCCTCCTCCTCCTTCCCTCCCCTTCCCTCCGCCAGGAAAGAGGAGAGGAGAGGAGGAGGAGTCGACTTTGCGGCGTATGTTTCTGGGGGCCCGCAGAGGAGGGCGCCTCGGGGGACGCTCCGGCCTTCCAGCGGAGGACGAAGTGCCAGCGGCGCCGGCTGCAGCGGATTCACATGAGGGTCGTGGCAGAGTTGATCACGAAGGGTGAGTCCGGGTGGGCTTCTGCAGCCTCCTCCTCTTCCTCAAGCCGACAGGCGGCCCCGGGGGCAGTGTTGACCATGACGAGCGGGGACGTGGCATGCGAGTCGCGTTCCGCGCCGTCAGTGGGTCGTGACGGTGGAAACCTCGCAGAGCCGACAACGACAGGGAGGGGTGCGGTCGTCTGCGGACGCTGAGCTGTGCCTGTAGGCCACGAGCGCGCCGGGCGCGATGAGAAGCAGCGCGTGGGGGCAGGACAGGAAGATCAGGAGGGCGGGGTTCGGCAGGGGTTGCATGAAGGAGCAGAGCTGCGTGTTCAGAGTTGAGTGCAGCCAGCGGTTCGATATCGCTGTGTCAGGTTGCATGACGCCCTTTCGATAGAGTTTCAAGGACATTCTCACGGGCACTCTTACCTTGCAACAGGCCGTACTGTACCACTTTGCTAGCCTTTGAGCGGGGAATCTTGATTATCGTGCCAGCGGGGACCCTAAACAGTGTGGTCTGGCTAATCTTGATTGTGAGTATTTGCTCACGTTTTTGTCTTTCTCTCTCTCTCTCTCTCTCCTCTCTCTCTCTCTCTCTTTCTGCTGTCAGCGTCCCTGGCAGCGCAGGTTTATTGAATCGTTTCCCTCATTCCGCCGGTCCCTCTTGCCTCGACGCTGTCGTTTGTCGGGGTGTTGTTGGCAATGCGGTGCGGTTGGGCTGCTGCCATTTTTCGGAGGCGGTGGGTTGTGGGTCAGAGGCCTCATGGATGTTGGTTGGGCTCTCGCGGTTGACCTCTCAGGGGCCTCTGGGAGGCAGTTCTGATGCCTCTAAGGGGGCCTCTCGGGGGCCTCTTGGGGCTTCTTGGGGTGCCTCTTGGGGGCCCCTTGGGGCTGGGGGCCTCTTGGGGCTGAAGGCTGGACTTTCGGTTCGGGATCCCCTTCTTGGGCCTCTCTTGGCGCCGTTTTGGTGCCCTCTTGGGTTGTCTTGGGCGACTCTTGGGCTGTCTTGGGGCCCTCTGGGGCCGTCTTGGGGCCCTCTTGGAGGCCTCTTGGGCCGTGTTGGGGCGATCCTGGAAGCCTCTTGGGCCGCCTAGGAGCGCTGGTAGGCCCCCAATGTGAGAACGCAAACAACCTTGAAAAACTACAGCAAAATCAGCAATTTCTGCCTCTGTTGGCCTCCTTGGGCTCTTTGGGATCTCTTGGGGGTCTCTCGGGCGGAGTCCTCTTGGAGGCTTCTTGGGGGCCTCTTGGGGCTTCCAGGGGAAGTCTCTGCGCCTAAAGCTCGACATGTCCGCTCGGGTCCCTCTTCTGAGCCCGCTCTTGGAGCCGTCTTGGGAGCGTCTTCGGCCATCTTGGAATCCTCTGGGGCTATCTTGGGGCCCACTGGGGCCGTTTTGGGCGCTCTTGGAGGCCTCGTGGGTTGTGCTGGGGCGATCTTGGAAGCCTCTTGGGCCGTCTTGGAGCGCTGATAAGCCCCCAATTCGAGAACGCCAAAAACCTTCGAAAACTACAGCAACATTGCAAATTTCTGCCTCTGTGGGCCCTCTTGGGAGGTCTCTTGGAGGCCTCTGGTGGTGTCTTGCAGGCGCTTCGGTCTGTCTTGTTCACCTTCGGCGTCTTCGATCGCTCTTGGGTTGAGCTCTCTTGGAGGCCATTTGAAGCGCTCCTGGAACGCTCTTGGGAGCCTGCTGGGACCTGGCCGGGACCTGGCCGGGACCTGCCCGGGACCTGCCCGGGACCTTGCCAGGACCTTGCCCGGACTTGCCGGGACCTTGTCGGGTCTTGCCGGGACTTGCTGGGACCTTGCCGAGGTATTTTGTGTCCGGGGACCCACAGGGGCGGCCCCGCGCGCACGAATTAGTATATAGTTAACCGGTCGCAGAGATCTTAGCACGCCTTTGGCCCGTTGGGCCGGCGAATCTCTCTCGCTGCTGTCGGAGCCCCTGGCAGTGTAGTTTTACTTTGCGCAGGATCCAAGGCGATCTGCCACAAGCGTCACTTCTGCAGCCTCTTGCTCTTCTCGGGCTGGCAAACGACCCCAGTGGCAGGGTTGACCATGACGAGTGGGGACGTGGCATGTGAGTCGCGTCCCGCACCGTCAGTTTTAATATTTCTTGGATCGGTGCCAGTGACCGCCTGGCGGCGCCTCGGGCGCCGCCCCTGGCGCGCTCCGCGGATGGAAACCCCGCAGAGCCGACCACGACAGGGGTGCACGGCCGTCTGCGGACGCGGAGCTATGCATGGAGGCCACGAGCGCGCCTGGTGCGATGAGAAGCAGTGCCTGGGGGACAGGAGAGGACGAGCGGAGGGGAGGAGGGGCGAGGGGGGAAACAGAGGCAGCCGTAGCTCCCAGCTGCTCCGCGTCAGCTTGGTCCTCAGTCGGGCCTTGCCTGCTCCGTGTTGGCTCCCCCCTGGCGGCGCGTCCAGCGCTGCCCCCGTCGCGTGGAGCGCGCCAGGGCCGGGGGGGTCCTGGCCCACGGCCCGCACCAGTGGCGTCAGCTTTCTGCAGCCCCGCGGTGGCGGCGGCGCTCCTCTTTTGGTGAGCTCTCCAGCCTGTGGGCGCCTCGGCCGCCGCCGCATTTAATTAATCGCTTCACACTCCATCGCTTCGCTCACTCCGCCGGCCCATGTTGCGCACCGCGGTCGACTGGCGTAGTGGTCGTCGGCAGTGCGCCTTTTGCGGGCTCCTTGAGGGCCTCGTGGGGGTCTCTTGGTGCCTCTCGGTGGCATTTTGCGGGCCTCTTGAGGCCTCTCGGGGGCCTCTTGGGGGCCTCTTGGGGGCCTCTTGGGGCCTCCACGGGACCTCTCTGCGCGTAGAGCTCGAAATGTCCGCTCGGGTCCCCCGTCTGGGCCCGCTCTTGGAGCCATGGGAGCCTCTTCGGCCATCTTGGAGGCCTCTGGGGCTGTCTTGGGGCCCACTGGGGCCGTTTTGGGCGCTCTTGGAGGCCTCTTGGATTGTGCTGGGGCGCTCCTGGAAGCCTCTTGGGCCGTCTTGGAGCGCTGGTGAGCCCCCAATGCGAGAACGCCGAAAACCTCCCAAAACAATCGCAACATCAGAAGTTTCTGCCTCTATGGGCCCTCTTGGGAGGTCTCTTGGAAGCCTCTGGGGGCGTCTTGCAGGCGCTTCGTCTACTCGGCAGCGGAGCTCGGGGAGTTCTTCGGTTCCCTCGACCCAGTTGCGCTGGCTGATGCCCCTCCCCCTCGTGAGGCCCCCTCTCGGCACGCACCCGCCATCGAGGGCGATCCTGCCGCCAGGAAGCGGCCTGCCTCGCGACAGGTCCACCGACGCAACTCCGGGAAACGGCGGTGGCCCGGTCGCCGTTGCCTGCGGTGGTGTCGGCATGTGTCGCGGCAGCGGGGCGCGGGTCGCACATGGAGGCTATATTTGGCGTCTTGGATCGCTCTTGGGCCCTCTCGGGCCATGTTTGAGCTCTCTTGGAGGCCACTTGAAGCGCTCCTGGAACGCTCTTGGGAGCCTGCTGGGACCTGGCCGGGACCTGGGGCCTGCCCGGGACCTTGCCGGGACCTTGCCGGGTCTTGCCAGGACCTTGCCGGGACTTGCCGGGACCTTTGCCGGGGTACTTTGCGTCCGGGGATCCCCGACCCCCAGGGGCGGCCCCGGGCGCGCGAACTAGAATATTGTTAACCAGTGACCAGAAATCTTAGCACGCCCTTGGCCCGTTGGGCCGGCGAATTGAGGAAGGCGGTTCTCCATAACTTCCCTTCTTTGGCCTGCCCTGGTGTGTGCCGTGAGCGAGCCCCAGGTGCTCCCGTTTTTAGGCCTCGCTCCTTCGTCGGTCGGGGTCCTTGCGGCTGGTGCGGCTCTCTCCGCATCAGCGTACAGCTGCCTCCCAACTCTGGTGGCTGATGGAGTCTGACGCTGTCCGCCAGTCACCGCTGTCTGTACCCACCGGGCCAGCGGTGCCAGCGGGCTCCTCGCAGCTGTAAGCGAAGCAGATGTGTCATCATCATTGTCATGATTTGTTTTCCCTTGTCTCCTCGTCGGCATCTCCCATAGTGCTGGTGACGAGCGCTTACTCCGCGCCCCTGGGGACCGCCCGTTTCTTTCGCATGTCTGTTCCCGCATCGCTCGCCACTACAGTCTAATGTGTTTGCTTCTTCGCCTTAGTCGACGATTGTTTTTCTCTTGCATGAACGCCACAACCCCATGCTTCAGGTCCGAGCAACGTCAGACATGGAGGATCGGGGATTCAGGATCGATGCTCGCAGTCGCCATCATGGGCGCGGCCTTCGCAGGAGCCCCCCCCGGCCCAGACCCCCGATGTGATGCATTTTTCATGACGCCGACCCCCAAAAGTCTCGACCCATTCCCCGGGACCGATTTCTCATCCTGAATCGTTTTTTGACGGCCCCGAGGCCCAGTGAGGGCCCCAAGAGGCCGAAAGCAGCCAAAAACCTCCCGTCGTGATTTTTTCATGACTCGAGGGGGTCTGGGAGGGGCCCTGCCGCAGGAGGCCGGGCCGCCTCCGCAAGCTGCCCTGTCGGGGCCTAAGAGACGGGGGTCAGTGCAAACGGGGGTCAGCCGGGGCACCCTGGAATCTTCCTCCTCCTCCTCCACCTCCTCCTCCTGCCCATCCTCCTCCTCCTCCTCCTCCTCCTCCTCCTCCTCCTCCTCCTCCTCCTCCTCCTCCTCCTCCTCCTCCCCTTCTCTGGGCTCTGGGGTTATCGTCTTCCGAGGGCTGGGGGCCCAATTTCTCAGATTTCCTCAGAATTCCCAGAGTCAGCCATGTTCACGCAGGATCCTGCAGGATCCTGCGAAGACCTTCCCTGGCTGACCCGGGTTAGCGAGCCGCTCGTGGCCGCGAAGCGGCCGCGCCTGTTGGTTGACCCGGGTTTGCGAAGACCTGCGTTGCAGTTTTTGTTTTTCCTGCATTGCAGTTTTTTGGGTTTCCTGCTGAGCCGGGTCTGGATTGACCCAGGTCAGAAGATCCCCGACCCTCTTACTGTCGAAATACGGCGCGCGGCCTTCGCAGCAGGCCCCCCAGGGGCCTTGCCTGCCGCAAAAGGCCAGGACGCCTCCACAAGCTGTCAGGGGTCGACCTGGACGGTGTTTGAGAGAGCTCGTGGGCCGTGTTCGTTTCGATTCCGTCTTGCAGCACAGGCGGACTGGGGACAAATCAAGGGACGACGAAGACACCACAAAGACGGGAATTGGCAAGCTGCCCGCTTCTGCCCTCCCCTCCCCTGCTGCCCTCTGCTGCCCTCCTCTGCCCCCTCTGCTCTCAAGCTGCCCTCAGGCTGCCCTCCTTTGCCTGGGTCGAGCCCAGCAAGCTTTAAGTCGGGCCTTTCCTTCTACAGGGGGAAAATTCAAAAATAGTCAAAAAATAGTCTGGGGACTATTTTTTGCTTTTTGGGGGCATATTTTGCGCTTTGGTTCGGTATGTTTTATTTTTCGTCCAAAAGCCCCTCAGTAGGGGGACGTGCCCGACCTAAAGCAAACTGCCCTTTGCGGCCCCCTTTCCTCTGCTGTGTGCTGCGAGCCCTCCGCCCGAGGTGGGCGCGGGCGCGGCGGCCGCCCGCGCGCCTTCGCGTGGGCGTGCACACCGGCAGCCACGGAGGGGCCGAAACACGAGGGGAAGAGGAGGAGGAGGAGGAGGAGGAGGAGGAGGAGGAGGAGGAGGAGGACGGAGGACGGAGGACGGAGGACGGAGGACGGAGAACGGGGGAGGAGGAGGAAGAGGAAGAAGAAGAGCAGGAGGAGGAAGGCGGCGCAAGGTGGTTCAGCGGCCTGTGTTTGGGAGCGTTCCAGAAGTGGTCGCCCAGCCAGGAGCACTCTTTTTCCTTTTTCATTTACTCAGTCCCACAACAGTCCGTGTGTTGGGGCGCCAACACGCGTGCGCCCCTGGGAGTGGGCAAGTTCAAGGGTATCCTTGCTGGCTTCTCGCCCCATGTCGGGACATCCTTGGCGTAAGGATGCTCTATGAAAATGTGAAACGTGTGGTTGCGGGAAGAACACATCCCACATGGCGAAGTGCAAACACTGGACGCCACTGGACCAATGGGTTAAAGCAAGAGGAGTCGGGCACCGCCGAGCAGAATGGAGGCAAAGGGAAACCAGATGGAGGCAGGAAAGGTGGGCGGCGTGCTGCGCTCACTGATGGCGCTGCTCCTGCTGGTGCTCTTCCTTCCGTCGATGTGATGTCGTCTGGTGAGGTGCAGCAGCGCATCCCTCTTGCAAAGGAAAGTGGGCACAATTCGGTTGCCAAACAATACGAAGTGGCATACATGGCGGCTCAACCTCAACAGCCAGAGCCAGCCAAGCTGCGAGCCGACAAAGCCAGCCAGGACATCAAAAACTGGCAAGCATGCTCGCAGATCAGTGTGACCACCTTGATTCGTTGCTATCAAAGGTCGCTGCCCAGGAGGAGAAATTCTTGGACACACAGTCGAAGATGGAAGCAGCCGACAACATTGACAATTACACTGAGACGATTCGAGAGCTCCGGGCTGACGTAGTTGTTCCAGCAGCGGCGCCGAACGCCACGATCAGCGTGGAAGAAATACTTCAGCCACGTTCACGTTCAGTGGGGCGAGCGATCTGTTCTGGCTGGCGGGCTGCGAGGACGTTGAAGCTACGGACATGGAGCAAGCCCAACAACGTGAATAACTGTTGGCAAGTGAACTCAAGGCAATCACAACAAAGTTGTTTGGCGAAGCTCGTGCAAAGGCCAAGGAGAAGATTGATGAGCACGACGAAGTCAAGACCATATTGGTGGGAAAGAAAAGGAAGACAGCAGATGGAGCTGCTGCCAAACCTACCAACGATGGGAACCGTGGGGCCTCTGCGGCGTCTGCTGCTGCCGCGTGCCCCGCTGCGACTGAGGCAGGGCAGAACGCGACTCCACCCAAAGTGGCAGGCATTATTGGCATTGGCAAAGGCAAAGGCAGAGCCATCGGCGAGGCAGGAGACCCCAGGATGCGCGCACGTGACCTGCTGGAGTCCACGGCTGCCCCGCCACCGTTTTAGCCATGATGGAGATGCTGACATGGGAGGCGCCCTGACCCATGAAAGCGATGACACGAAGGGCTGCGCGAGTTCTACTTCAAGATTTGGCTACACGCTCGCTGGGCATGAACCTGGCGCTCCATGGCCACATGCGGCGGCTGTTGCTGGGCATGAACCTGGCGCTCAGTGTCGGCGCGATTTTCGACACGATCTGCATCCCCGAGCTCGAGCTCGCACCGGTGCTTCCCGAACTTCGAGGGCTTCTGGGATTTCAGCGACCAGGCGCACTTCACCCGCGACCTTTGCTTTCCATATAGAT